GAGACTTTTTCAAATGGAAAGATGTGAGTGAACAGTAATTAGCCAATCGAGACTTTTCCAAATGGAAGATGTTATAATGTAAGCAGTAAGTTGCCAATTGAGACTTTTCAAATGTAAAGATGTTGTGAGCGTAGCAGTAAGTTGCCAATCGAGACTTTTTCAAACGGAAAGATGTTGTGAGTGAACAGTAATTAGCCAATCGACTTTTTCAAACGGAAAGATGTTGTGAGTGTAGGCAGTTAGTAGCCAATCGAGACTTTTTCAAATGGAAAGATGTGAGTGAACAGTAATTAGCCAATCGAGACTTTTCCAAATGGAAGATGTTATAAATGTAAGCAGTAAGTAACCAATCGAGACTTTTTCGAATGGAGAGCGGAAGCAGTAAGTTGCCAATCGAGACTTTTTCAAATGGAAAGATGTTGTGATTGAGCAATAATACCAATAATACCAATGATACAGATTAGCAACTGTATGTTGAACTCGAATGCCAGCATAAATAGTTTTTACTTATGACGTTCGTTTTAACCTAATCGACAAAAGCGTCATTCTTAGGTCATTTTTAGTATTTTCGGTCAAAATGTCCGTCAACTGTTACTCAAATGGTCGTTGTAGACGTTATGCTGTGTCAGAAGATTTCAAACGACGCCGAGGCGTCCAACACTGACTTGAAGGAAAACAAAAAAGTTCGCATATTATGAAAGTAAGCTTTTAGAGAACTAGACAAAATGTAGAGTCGAAAAGTGTGTGGTACTTAGCAGACTGTGCAGTTGGGGCATGCTACTTGCAGAATGCCTTTGACAGCATTCATCTCAGAAATAGGAATGATCATCAAAGATGTGACTCTCTGTCGATAAGATGGATGTTCGGCCACCACAGTTTTATTTTATGTTCTTTATATGTTGAACAAAGTTAGTAAACGTATAACTGTTCGAATTAACTTGTGGGTTGTATCTCCCTAATGCAGTTCAATAAACTAACTAGCTTTCACAACATTCGTTTTGTTTTTTTTTTTGTTGTCAACATGCATGCATATTACAATGATCTCGATTACCCAGAGGTCCTCGTTTATCCAAGCATTAAGTCTTATCTGCCGTCTAAGTACTTGATGAGCGAGGATCAATGACATGTTATATCCGAAGAGACACGTTGTTCAAAAAAAATGTTTACAATTTGTATGTCGTAAACTTATGGGAATCAATTCATTATTGGTTGCAGGAACCTGCAAAGTCAAAAAACAAAATTTTATTCTCACGCCATATTCTTAACAAAGAAGCATTATGTTGGGAAAAGTTCGTCAAATCCAAATCGGGCCATAAAAAGACGAGAAACAAACGCATTTCCGGCCTTAACTAGTTCGGTTTTCCTTACCGCCACAGTCGTACTATCACTAGCCACCCCTCGTGTTTCAAAACGCCACACCATACATTACCAGCCACAGTGTGCATGATGTACTACGAAAGTAGTGTTACGAATTGTTATGATTTAACCAATAGCAGTTCTCAAGTTGATGGAATGTTCCTCTAATTAATGATACGCCCCCTAGACCAACCCGATTTAAATTGGGGCGTTTGTCCCGCCACAGAAACAAATGGCGCAATGTAGTTGATGATTGGTCCAACGGAATTCCTTTTGGAAGGATTAAGGGGGGGGGGAGATGGTTCGATTCAAACTTTATGGAAATACTCTCTAGAAGATAATCAAAAACAGTGACGTACTAGTTACTACAAGGAAATGAATACATTTTAATGACATGTGGTATAGAATATATTCCCATTTCTTACTTTAAACGTATTCTCATCGAAATTATAACGCTTTCTAGACATTGGAAACCGGACGTCATTCCGACAGTATGGATATAATCTGCATGGTGCGTTCTTTTAAGAGTCCATGTGCTCGAACGTTGCTACGCATTAGCAAATTTGGATGATCGGACTTGCATGCCCGGAATTACTTATGATGTCAGACATAATTCGTTAGTATACAATTAAATATGCAGAAAAATCAAAGACAATGAACGCACAATATGATGCACATAGCATACATTTAATGGGTAATTTACTGCGTCGTAGTCTATTGTATTTCCATATCTGTGGTACAACGACACACAAACAAAATAAAGAACATTACTTGAATCCCAGAACTCCGCAACCAACAAAAAGTATAAATAGCGCGAGTCCAGCTCGCAGAAAATTTCAATTTCGACAAGCAAAAATCCAAACGAGATAACTTGAAAAAAAAAATGTCGCAACAACAACGCAGAGATAATCGCTATCATCCATACCGTTCCCAAACATTGTCATCTACCTTATCAAATAGTAACAGAAACTACGCACGTCCAGACGGTGTTTTACTCTTTCAGAATGATCAAGAAACTGAAGAAGATCGCCGAATTCAAGAAAACCCTCCGTATCAATTAACACTCACCGAAGAGGCTTTGTTCGCTCCCGGGAAACGTAAATCAGCCAGCAAAATACCTCGACCGTTGAACAGATTTTTACTGTTCAGAAGGGATTTCGAAGCGAGATTTCGAGCAGAAAACCAGAACCTCCAATTAGATGCTGCTTTTTTAGCACCGAAAGCAAAAGAAGCATGGAAGTTGCTGTCCGAGGAAGAGAAGCACTATTTTATGCTATTGCAGAGAAAAGGTGCGAGAAAACACAGAGAAAAGTATCCGGACTATAAATACACACCGAGAAGAGCAAACAAAAAACCCAAGAAAAGTCGACCGAATGGAAAGCACCGCGAAGCCGAACTGGAAAACAGCGATTCTAACATTGTGCTATCACCGTTGCAGTCACCGGTTGACTTGTCACCGATTAGCACCACACCGACCAACACTGTTCCCGAAACGATACCATCAACGCAGAATTTACACGAAATATATCTTGTGCCATACGCTGAAGACTCGGTAGCTCTCCATTCACAGCAACAAACGATGCAACAGTCTCCAATCTCAGATTATAGTGGCTTATCAACACCGCCGTCTCTTTATCCACCTCAGATCATCTTTCCTGATTCTGATAATTATTCGCCTGATGAATCCAGCCCGTTGGTAAATCCGTTCTGTCTCAACCAACAACTCACACCTTTGCAGATATCGGTACCGTATTCTTGTTCGACTAGCCCTATATCCCCGACTCATATTCAATATGTCTTTGAAGATTACACATTCTCGTTATACGAAGATGATACATTCGTAATGTATCCTCCATCTGACACATCGTCCGAATATGATATACACAACTAATTTTTACAATCGGGTATTGACAATCGCTGTTGGAGATTTTCTTTTTCATATATTATATACATATTCTCTTTACTTTACTTTACTTTACTTTTTGTTATATATACACTTTATTCATTTGTTTATATTTGCCTTTTTCTTTTGAAACCTTGGACATTTGCTAGTATTTTTGGGGGTATGACTATCGTAATACGAATATGTCAAAGAAAATGCTAAGGACTATTAGAATAAACGAAAGAAATAAGCAGCTTACGACGGCTAACAAATAGAGAATTGTAGCTACATCTCGGATATTACTATAATTCATAATTACTAAGATATGCGTATAAGTCTAATAAATTGTTTAGAAACTTTAGAGTATATGGGGCCATATATGACTGTTATAAGATTGTGTGAAACCCAATAAAATAATAACGAAATAGAAACAAACGCTTCTGAAACATATGCTTCTCTGCATTCCTATTCTAAAATTCCATTTGTGGTCAATGGATTGTGTACGTGCTACAGATCTGTTGATGTTGTACCATGTACTTTGCATTGCTCTTTGTATTGTCAATTGCATGAATGCACAAAAAAAAATAAAATTAAAAGTTTCGGCTGAAATCGGCGACACGAAAGGCATTCAAAAATTAAATTATTATTGGCTAGCAAAAGCAATAAGAGAATACGAATATTGATGCAGAAAAAGAAAGATATGAAACAAAATATATTCCATAGTCAACTTGTTAACGACGTAATATGCAAACGTTCTGTATGGTTACTCAAGTCTTTTATAATCTACGCACAACGGTGCACAAATTTGTAAGGCGCAATATATCGGCGCGTTTGTTATAATCAAGTATTCTCGAAAGCAAAAGTGCTCGACCATTTTAAAAAATTATAAAACGCATCATCTATTTTGGGGTTGAATATACAATACTAAGTTTATATGTGAAAAAAAAAGCGGAATAAAAAACAGTTTTCTGGTCTTAGAATAAAGAACTAATAATCGATAACTCGCTTGTCAATTGAGACATATTATTAGAAAACTCTTTAATCGAGTCTTGGTCAGCCTCTTCTTGATTATTGTAATGCGTACTATCTTTATCTATTATCAAAGTCTTTGCTCTTTTATTTAATCTTCTCATCCCAAGATACTATTCTTGTTTAACAAATATTCTGATTTCTCCAAAACTGCCATTGTATCCAACAGATCTTTTAATTATTCGCACAAAGTAATATTAAGTTTCGCCGAAAGTCAACATTATCGTATGCTTTTGGAATTACTTACTATAAAAATTTTGTAGCATGTAATTGTCTTGTAAGTCAAATTGTAACACATTGTGAATTTCTTGTTATTCATATTGAGATGTGTACTGGCTAAAAAATAACCGAGCTTTTGTCAATAGATCGAAAATCCGACAAATTTGGCTGGGGTTGGATGCATATAATTAAATCGTTCCAAGTATGCACGACTGTATGTTGTTATGATCATAATCAACCTTACTTGCCACGTCAATAAATGCACTGTGCAATTTTGCACCCTATCGATCATTTCAGACGATCCAACTCATTTATTTGAGCAATAAGCAAAAAGTTCGGGTATAGTGTAATCAAGTCTGCTTTTTTGGGAAAAGAATAGATTTTGACATTTAGGATAAGACATTGTTTGCCAAGTGATTAATTGTATCCTTTTTATTCTCATCGCCATTGGCGAAAATATAATATGCACGAAAACTAAATAAGGCCGAAGAATATAATAGCGCTGGGTGATCAGAATAGAATTTGTTCTTTGTGTTCTTTATTGCGCATATAATACTAATTAGTTTTAGCGTAATGACAGCACTCTAAAACTTTCGCCAAAAACGTTGTTCGCTTGTTGTTACATATTGTAAATCCTATCATATTAATATATATATGAAGGGCTTGGTTAATGTTACAGTTCTCAGATCGCGTCAATTTCTTCGCTCGACATGTCTGAATAGCAAGTATGTGAAATGTTATATTAAACAAATGTGGCATTCAAAACCCCATGTGTAAGATTACATACTATCTACTAGTTTTTGTCGGGTTCAAAACTAATATTGCATAAAACATATCCATTTCAGTCGTTCTTGCGAAGGGAAAATTATTTAACAAAAACGTTTTAAAACGTAACGCTTGTTTTGTTGTATTTCAAAGGTCAAACATTAAAAAAAGAATTATTACCAAACTGCTAATTATGACATAACACAAAACGTTTAGCCAACAAACTTTATGTTTTAATATTTGTACAGAAACCTTATAAAAACTTTATATTTTCAAGTTATCTATAATTAAATGCTCATAACGTATATCTCTTTACTAGGGTTAATAATAGAAAGTAGTTTGGTTACAGTGTGACATATTTCAATGTTATCATTGAGTAAACAGAGGCTCTCTATACGTCTCATTAACACTCATCGTTTACTAATTTAGGACAGCAAAGGGTAAGTCTACCAATGGATTTTTACGGAATTGCTTTGCCAAATAGAACATTGATTGTAGTTATTGGCAAGACGGACTCTAACAATTTATTAATTTGTTTGAGAATCTATCATGACGATTATAATACAAATTATTACTATCGACTTCAGACCGTAATTACAAGATAATATTATAATACTCTGATATATCGCGGAGGGCAATATTTTATACTTACAAGGATAAATTATGTCAGTTCAAAGCTCAACGTTGTGGTCAAACTAAATACTGCGAGAGAAAGGCGTCCAGTAATTCCAATCGTTAATACGGTTGGTAACCTTTCCGGCTCTAAATATACTCGTAATTTCCCCAATTATCAGTCTGTTTCTCATGGTGCGCCTCCACCCTCTATTGATGGGATAATCCGTTCTTTGCGGAGGAATTTGTAAATGTCAAAGTAAGCGTTCATTAATAATTAATAATCGCATTTACCAATTTTGAGAATTGGCCAAACCCGTAAATTATACAGCAATCGAAATCACCAAGTAAGCAGGAATAATTAATGTCAAATATGTATATTGTTTTATGAAGAATGAAATCCAGATTACAAACTAAAGATAATGACAAGCAAAACTACCGCCGCTTTTATCGTTCGACTAACTAAGTATTAATTACAGCTAAATACTTTCATAAGTGCACGCTTTCGAGACTAGGCATTTGTGTGCACTTAAAAAAAGGCATACACTAATAAAACAGTGAAAAAACTGTTACATAGAATAGCAACTATTTAGTCTTTATTATCAAAACTATACCTCAATATTTAAAGTCTGGTACTTTAAGTCGATTTTGGTTTGGTTATTTTCCTGATGCAACTAATTTTCCCACAAGTTGGTCTTCTCGTGTCTTTAGTATACGAAAAACAGTACTTTAACTCTAACGTTTTTCAACTCAATCGACGTATTTAGTTCATGTCTTTTTATTAGTACATTTCAGAATTACAAAAGCTCGCTTTTGAGAGTAATTCTCTTGTAAGTCGACGCTCTAACGCGACAACCATTACAGTATGGGACAAAACATTATATCTTCACCAATTTGAAGTCGGTATAGACAATGTAAAATGAGTTTATATTTGTGTATTTTGAACCGCTTGTTTATAGTTATTTTTTCACTAATACTATTCCCTAAATTCCTCAAAAATCACCCGACGATAACTTCCAGACAAGAACGCAACCGTTAAGAAAAGAGTCGATTAAGAGTACATCCTCAAACGACTTATACACCATCCTCACCTTTTTTTAAACAATAGGAGTTGTTCGCTCGAACTTGATTAAATAGCAAAGATTGATATCTTTATTTGGAATAGGAATAAGAATACAAGAATGATATTATTTGTGCGGTAACACCAACAAAAATTAGACTGTGCCTTGACATGTCCTTGTTTAGCAGCTTTTTGATACCATTCAATCTATACAACAACTGGACCAAGGCATTCGGAAAGGTGTAGAGATTCATAGACGAACTGGTATTGCCCTCAATACAATCTATGATGACATTGGAAAACTCAAGCAATCTGGAACTATTCAGCGTATAGAGGAAGCGGTCGCCCAAGGAATATTGAAGCTAATGCATCAAGAGCATTAGCTCAATATGTACAGAGAAATTTATTTATTTCTACAAGGACGTTAGCAACAAGGTTACTTTCAAGTGGAGTAAATGTATCTTATAGAGCAGTAGGAAGGCATTTGGTGCATAGTGGTTATCGAAAAAGCCTTCCAAGAGCAACACCAATGTTGACTGAAAACCATAAAGATCGGCGTGTAGAGTGGGCTCAAAATCATCTTAATGATGATTGGGAGAATACGTTGTTTACGGATGAGACTGCATTTTAGCTCTTTCGGAATACTGTAGAGCGCTGGCATAAAAAGGACTACCACCTACAGGTCATACGCCGAAGGATCGAACAAAGATCTTTGCTTGGGGAGGCTTCTGCATAAACGGTAAAACAAGTTTATACTGTTTTTCAGGAAAAAATGGATGCAGATTTTATGTAGACATACTCCGGAGACAACTACCAGAAATTGAAGACTTGTTAGGAGATGAATGGCGGTTTCAACAAGACAACATACAAGCCCGCATCGCTAAAAATTTTCTTCGGGACAATATGCCTGAAGTTATAGACTGGCCTTCTAACAGTCCTGACCTAATGCAATAGAGAATCTCTGGAGTATCGTCAAAAGAAATGTAGAGATCAAAATATTGGAGACTTGCGGCGATTTATAGTTGAAGAGTGGGGATGATATTACACAATCAGGGTTAGTACGATCAATGAAAAAATAACGGGGAACGCATTCCATAGTGATTTTTTTTCTGCCGGTTTTCAGTAGTTTCACGTGTAGAACATGGATCTTGCGTCATCCAAAATAAGGGGTTATGTGCAGTAAATAGATGGCGCGTGACACATTTATTTTAACTTTATCAAGATGAGCGCCCGATTACAACTGGCACAACGTTTTACGAGATAAGCCTGTATGTGCTACGTTCAATTGAATATATGCCGGGTATCCAAGTATTACCGAGTCCATGTATTACATGGTATAAAGAGAAAGAAAACGACAAACGTTGTCCTCGAAGACAAAAGCTGTATAAATCTATCCAATTGTATGTCTTTGAACATAACGACTGTTATTTCTGGTTCATTTCATGGCTTGGCACCAAATGTTTGTCAGGCCAATTTGAAATATGATTGTTATCATATTTGGCTCGTTGTAAAAGTGCCGATATATACGTTAACGTATGCGGAAATGCCTGCTATAATTGCATGTTTTCAATCCAAATCATACGCAGTAAAATTAAAAGGGTAATGGTTTATCGGGAAAAAAGGGTTTCTTGGGCATACCGAGAATTATTATTGTGGGGATTGCTGCTGCTGCTGTTGTTCTTCTTCTTCTTATTATTATTAGTATGTGGACAATGTTCATTGGTTTGTAGAAACTTGCCCGATTTTGATTACCCAATAACACTCCTGACCGATTATCTGTAATTTCATTGGTAGTAATTAAAAAAAGATCTAAACAGATGCATTATTATTAATTTTAATTTCCAATCTTATAATCAATGCTACACCAAGTACTGATCAAAATTCTTTATACTACTAAAGGATCACCAATGTGTTAAAAACTTCTTACATGTCATACGCTCAAGTGTGGTGTATGCAGTCGAAAAACCTCCCCGCATATTTAAAGTTTCGAATTGTTAGTTGCAGATAAATTTCTTTTTACAGTATGTCTCAAACCGTACCTTTTACCTTATAAATGACGACAAAATTTCCTATTGTACAACGTCGCTACTAACGTTTATACTACCAAGTCGCCGATTGCTTTATAACCAAGTATCCGACTATTTAGTCGCAGTAAACACAAATCCAACAGATACATTAATATGCCAAGACGGCCTGTTAGTTGATTACATACACATAATTAACAATTCAATAAAGATAAAGGCAAATACACAACGAGTATCGTCGAATCTTTACCCAAGTACAGTTCATGCATAAATATTATTAAGGAGTGGGCGATTGGTACAAGAAATTTCTACGGAAAAAATTTTTTTCTGTGCCAATTTGGTTTAGACGTTCCCATCCCTTCTTGCTGTAATGATGACGTCGTTAGTGTTGCTAAGATTGTACTGGTGATAGTCTTTGGCTAATATGGCTTGTATACAAAAATATTCAAACTGTCAAAGTTGTTCTAAATAACAAACGATTCATCAATGCATTCAATACTATAACTGTGGATAAATGGTAAGATCTCATGCTTAACAAATCACTTGGTCATATATACGTCAATGGATATGCGAACAAAATGAAAAAGACCCAAGGTTACGTTTTACAACAAACTGAGGACCATCGGTTCATTTTATTGATGGTTTCTTTAGCTTAGACGACATTCTTTAAGGATTACGACATTTTCTTAATGTCAAACTTAGATACTCAACATTACATGTTATCATATGCCATAAAATTACACAGTCTACAGAACAATAGACAGTGCAGATGATAAGAAGACGAACTTAAATGTTTGATCTTCGGTTCAATGACGAAGTATTAAACTTATAACTCGAATCAAAGGGAAAATAAAGAACAGATAAGTGAACAATCTTACTCTGTCGTTGTTCGGGTGAGAATTGAATAGGAAATTAAGGTGCAAGAAAAAAATTGTACAAGAAGAGGAAAATTAAAAGGGGTAATAGGAAATGCAATAAATGGTAATTGATAAAATAAAGGTGCATTAATCTGTCAACAGATGACCTTTTTCACATTCTGTATTCTGGTATTTCTCCTACAGTCAAAGGCAGGAACCCACCATCATGTTCGTCTCGTTCCTTTGAAAAATCATAATCATCCAGACAAGGCATTTCGTATTGAACGGGATGATTAGTCACGATCGGGTGCTGGATGACATTAGTCGTCGCGGGAGGAACTCCAGTGATTATGGACGGATCTACAGTCATTTGTTGGAGATTCAATAAACGATATGGCGCGGCAAACACTGGTGTGTATTTTGATCTATATCCTTTCAAGTCCCCGTATACATCAAATTTCTTTTCGCATTTGAATGACTTCCTTTTCTTGGGAGTATACTTGTAATCGGGATATAGCTCCTTGTGCTTTTCAAAAGCAATTTTTTGAAGTATCTGGAAGAATTTTTTCACAACTGGTGGTTGCCGACGCCATTCCTCTCCGACTTTCTTGCAGATTATCTGACTGTTGAACGTCCCGTCTGGGTAAATTAATTGTAACTTTGCGTCACAGTCCTTACGGAATATAATGAAGCCGTTTTGAGGCCTGGGAGGCGTACTATCGTCTTTCCGTCGGGATTTACGTGGTTTCGTGCCCGGCGCTACGAGCTCCTCGAGACATAGAGTTAAAGGGTACGGTGGGTTCGCTAAAAGTGCTTGATCTTTGGGACTTAGGCGTTCTATGATCGACAGAGTGTCAGACTGGGGTGTGGGCGGAGCAGTCGTCTGGGGTGACGACGCCGTGACAGTTTCGGGTGTAAGAGTAAGGGTTGATCTCGATTCGAACATTATTAAAGGACGCGATTTTTCATAAAACGTTTTAATGAAAGGAGTGTACAGATGTGTCAACATGAAAATAAATAAAGAGTCAGATATTTAGTTAAAGGTATTTATCTTAATCAAAGTTTCACAATTATCAAGCAAGAAACGCCTTATTGACTAAATTGAAAACCCTTTGTCTTTTTGTATTATAGAATTTTTTTTTAATTATAGTAAACATAATGAGTCTGATGGGAACATGAGTTGTCTTTTATATAAAATCAAGGTCGTATAAAAAATATATATTGAACAATATATAAATAAGATTCCTTATCGTAAACGAGATTACTTTATTTTATATATTATGTATTCGGAATAAATCCGACGCCAAGGCCGAAGTGGTCTCACAAATGCTTATATTTTAAATGGTACCTTCTATGTAGTGCTCGTTGCACTCTTTTCGATTGCTTACGGCAATCTCCACTGTGTGTTTACATACTACAATTAACATAAATTGACATTTTAATATGCTCTTTTTTAACAACTCTTCTTTCCTTATCGTTCAGATCAAGAAACTTTTCCCACTCTAATTTTTCCTCGCTGGAAAAAAGGGGAGCTCCGAACCAATAAACATCTTTAACAACGCATGACTCAATTATAAATACTGGTTCTATGACCAAGCACGCGCACAACAACAGAACTTGGCCATCTAGTAAGGTTTACATAATGGTTGCCGTACATAATAATAATGTATCCTTTTTTAACGCCAAGAAGCATAAGAGGACTTGTACAAACTGTGTGCTCGGAAGATAACATAGTAAACCTGAACATATAGTTTAAAGATATTTTTACTTATGAAATAAGTTCTTCTTATTGGCTATCATCCGAAAAAGTCTTGATTATGCGCATATTCGTAAAATACAAACCTTATCTCGTTTCTGTCGATTTCCTTATATTATTTTGTAAAACTGAAAATTTTAAGATAGAAAGATGTAAACTATAACAGGTTATATTATCTCCGAATCTGTCAGCAAAATATTTTTAAAATACGCATTATACGCTTCTATACTTCGAATCTTCTAAATAGCAAATTCGATCTAACTATTTATTTTGAGCAAAACATGTATTTGCTAAATTTGAACTTTGTGAAATTATTCAATGTCTCTGTCGATGACTATTTTATAGCTCATTGTTTATATGATTTATAAATTCCGGCTTGGGATGCCAAGTACTATATTCGATAATAAGTAATTTGACTTGGGACAGTTCAATTATATCGCAGCAAAACTTTATGTGCGAGTTACAACTCACCAATTAATTTCAAAGCCTTTTATTCAGATGGCGTTATTGTGAAAGTAAACCACGGGCAAACGTCTCGTAAAGACAGAAGTTTTTAATGTAGAAAACAACGATAAGTCTTGGCTAACAATAATTATTGTGGTGTAAGAATACAACAATGAATGTTTACTGATAACAGTACAAAGCGTTGTTTCGCAAAAAATAGGCTAAACCATTGTTAAAAGAGGAACAATAATTGAATCTCACAACTCGTCTAATCTTCGGCGAGGCAATGTAAAAGCGTCACGATTTTGTTCAATCCTGATTGGAAACGTTAGCATGTTTAATAGATGGATAAAGACTGCGAATGGTAGATATATAGGCAAATATGTCACTCAAAACCGTTGCAAGACAATCAATAATGTAGTGTAATATACTTCTGTTTGGTCGTATTACAATATGACATATGTTAGAATTACCATTTAAATACACATATACGAGATTGTAACACCAGCACTAACAAATCAAACCGTACCAAGAGACTTTATTATTCAACTATCATCGCTCACAAATATGACAATGCCATGTTTTGCTTTGTGACCCCTACGTCCGCAAGACATGTCTGCCTTTTACGGCATCCGCAGGCTTTTACACACTCATATTTCATCAGTTTTGGTCACGCTGTTTGGTGGAGAATTTTTGAGCGTGCGCAGACATTTGACACGTCATAGAGTTTTGCTGGCATCACATTTACGGTATACGACAGAACCGCACCAAAAAGAGTCTGTCAGCCTGACACTAAATCTGTAACAAATTAGTTTCCAAATCTCAATCACGCAACATATCTATTCGTATTCTTTCGGTTAATTTATGAAATACTGCATATCCACTTCAAACACGACTCTTTTCCCTTTTTTAGACAACATGTTCATGGCTTTCGCGATTTTTCTGTTATTTTTTTTCTCCAGAATTTTACAACATTACGTTGCGGTACCATAATATTAATAGTAACGATTATTACACTGTCGATTATGACAATTAATTATATTTTGCGGCTGTCATACGTAAATTGTAAACTCTGTCTAATTCTTAAAACCACATTCACATACGTAAAACTTAAACGCTTATTTCAAAGACAGTACACGTATCACTTTTCATTAAGAGACTGTATAACACGTCTGATCGAACAATGTTTATTCTCACTTACAAAACACTGCACAACCTGGGTCAATGCCGTAAAAAGATTGTGTAAATTTTGTTAAACTATCTTCAATTGCTCACAAAACGATTCATTTAATGAACGTAATAGTAACATTCGATAAGGCGTACGAGTATAGTATTGACTAATTCTAAACATTGACTCGTAAGCCGTATATTTGATTATCAAAAATTGTGCGTATACAGTAAGCTTATGTCTGAATCGTTCGACAAAACCACACATAGAATACTATATTAGCGCAAAGTTGATAACTCATCAGACAATAAACAATACGTGATACTATTACGGCGACGGTGAACAGTGCACTGCGTCCTATAATTCTGTTTACGTCTTAAATCAAATCTTCGATAAGGCCAAAGATGGTAGTAACCACCATTAAATCGAAAACTTGATACTGTATCTGCAGATCTGTAAATTTCAGACGACCCGTCCGTATAATCTAGATGGTTTAGGTTGAGCCTTAAATATCATAAATCAAGTAAACTTTCGAATAGGAGAAGTTTATCTAACGTATTTAGTAGTTCCAAAGCGTTTTCACGGGTCCAGGTCATTTGCCCGACAGTCACTTGCCCGACAATCATTTGCCCGACAAAAATTTACCAAAAAAGGATAAATTTGAAATAATTTGAAATAATGCTGGTAAATATTTGTCAGGCAAATGACTGTCGGGCAAGTAACTGTCGGGCAAGTGAACGGCTCCCCGTTTTCACTGATATGTCGATCGGTGTTACTCGCATCCCCAATTATGAAGGTAATTTTGGTCATGTTATGCCTAACCCCTGGCCAGAATTATTATTAGTGCTCATTGATTAGTCAAATTATCCATTTTATGTATATAAAACTTTATTTTGTACATAATAATAATAGGTTTCTAGTTTTGAAAATAATCTATTTATCAGAGAGTTCTCATCTCTAGACAAAAGATTTGGAGATTATTTTTTAAGTAAGAGTATAAGTAGTTCAAACAATCTCTATAAGAGACACTTAAATCTACAATAAGTTGTTCATTAAAATGCTTAATAACACTGTAAGTATAAGCTCATTGTCCACAATCTTTGGGTTAACTACTACTACTGGCATATGGGTAAGCTGGCATCAGCATGGATTTACTAGATAGCTGCTATATCCCAGTAATAAAATGCCTTCAATTCCTGAGCCCTTCTCCTTATTTATTGAGACTGAATGTGCGCCATTGAAGTGTCTCCAGAAGTTTTAGCATATAGTTCAGATGTAATACTCTATTTACAATTTGCTTAAGCCTTTAACTTCTGAATTTGAAAAAAATTCTTTTGCATGAGGTGTTTTGAAAATGGCGAGGCATTCTCTGTTCTAAAATCTATGACATCCTAACAAAGTGGGCTATATATATAATTTAAACTCAAAGAATGACAAAAAAGCTTAGTTTATATTTATGCTTAAAATTATCAAACAGACCTGTTTAATCTTCTCATGCAGTCTTAAGTCCCGCTGTAAAACTATAATAAAGTATTCTGAGGTCATCAATCTTGAATGGTGAAGGGAAAAAAAAGTTAATTTTAATAAGAAACTAGGAAGCTATAAAATACTTATACTTTAAGATCTACACCTTTATTCTCTTAATTTTTTGATAGATATTATTATAAAAAATTACAGTATTACTGGTTCCATCACCTATGTCAAAAAATTGGGTTGATAGATGTAAATCAAAGGCCTGCTAATTTCTTTGACTTCTCCTTTCTCCATAATTGTAATTATACATAGAGCGGGTTAGGGTTACAAGAACAGTTTCTCGTGCTTTTAATTTTGTTGATTTAATAAGAATTGGTAGATTTGCGCAAAAAACGTGGCAATATTTGATTTGTGCAAACACGGCCGTTACAGGTAAATTAGCGAAATACGCTACTAAAAATATAATAATAAATTGTAACAGGAGAAGTATGGGAAGAATTAAGAACGAACTAGTTCCCTAACTGAGAAATTTTGTGATTAAGACCGATTTGTTGTTCAATCAAACCCACTACGTGTATTAGCAAATGTAAATGGTGATCTGCATATTAATATATTCTGAATTCTACGCCATATAGAACCAGTGTTTACATGCCAAAATGAATAGTTCTTCTCCATGTTCATTATATTTTAAAACTTTAGATTGTCGGGCAAAAAAAGAATGACCTATGTATATGTTCATATCAGAGAATTTGATGATCGATTCACAAGTTTCATGATTACATGATCATGTGACCAAATGGATTGAGAAATACGACAATTTAGTGGTTATGCAGACTTTAACAAATCAAATTCTTTACTACGGTCACATCACGCCGTCGTTTCCAGACGTAGCACGCAAGGTATTCAGAATAAAAATCGGTATTAAAGTTAAATATCTATTGCTATGGAGACTCGTTTACTTATGTTATATGTTCAAAACGAAGCGATTCTAACTGAAGCTACGACGACTTTATCTCAATTTAAAGTTTAATATTAACATATTAATATAGATGTGATCAACATAGTTGAGTGTCACAAATGATCCAATCCCTAAAATTTGATGGCG